GAGCTCTCAGTCCTTGCTGAGCAGGGTCAGGTGCCTGACCTCCAGGAGGCATGCCAGGGACTTTCCCATCTGCAGAGATCAGCAGTGGTGGGTAAGTGGTGCTCATCCCTCTCAGGAGTTCATGGAAAAGTACAGAATTGGCAGATCTCTTCAACATCTATTGCCCTAGCTTCCATGGACTTGGGGAGTGAAGTCCTGGCCAAAGTTAAGAGTAGAAAACCCCATTTCTCTTAAGAATAGAGAGCTTTCCAGAGAGTGAGGGAGGGAGGCGCTTAACCCCTTAAACTACCCACCCAACTGTAAGAGCTTCCCCGCGTCTCCACTCCCCTCACTTCCATGGTATACAGCTTGTCCTCATGGTGCCAGGCAGGGAAATCACCCTGGAAAGTTTCTAGAATGCCTCTGACAGTGTATCTGTGCATTGCATCCTCCCACCACCTTACCCTCCTTCCTTTGGCTGGTCTGTCCCCAACCACACATGGCACATGGCCAATGCTCTCGAATTCCAGATTGACTACCGACACAGTTGTATGACCATGGGCAATTCACTTACCTTCTGTGACCTGTCAGAAGGGTCATAATTGTACCCCTGTTGTAGGGTCATTGTAGGGATTTAATGAACTAAATGATATCTGGCATGTAGTATCTAAATGTTAGTTACGGGACATATTCTGACTACAATGACAGTGGGTGGGTATCTGGCCGTCCACCAGGTCCTCTTTATGCAAGATAATTGCCTGCATGTCTCTGGTCAGCAGACATTGGTCACTGAAGTCAGCCTAACCTGGCCTCCCGGCGGCACTTGTTTACGTCTCCTTTGCACACTCGCCAATCTTCTTGATCTCGTGTTGCTGGGATAGCCACCAGATTGGACAGCTCTAGACAAGAGCTATTCTGTATCAGGGCCCAGAGGTCTCCCGCAGACCACATAGCGTGTATGTGTTGTTACCGGCTTCCTTCTGTGGCTGAGGAATGGCCGTCTAAGTACCGCTTCTTTTTATAGATGGCTCTGACTAGTATATTTGCTGATTAAAAGGGAGGCCTCACAGAGCAGTCATTTGGAAGAGCATAGTAATACTTTAGAACCAGGATGGATTCAGACATTTATTGCAAAGTGTTTATTTCCTAAAATAAGGAGGCATGCGTTTTGTTGACTTCCTTCTAATGAGAATTCCTCAGGGATTTGAAAGCTGTCATTGTGTGCTTTCTCTTTCCTCACTTTCCAGCTCACTCATCCAGAAGCATCTGACTAGTGCTATCATTAAAGTTGTGATTGAGCTTTGAAAGGAATCCTTTGCTACTATTTTCTCCTTAGAATCATTCCAAGCTGCCTCTGTTGACCAAATGTATATCAGATTTTTTTTCATTGTTTTCTGTTGAATCTTATTTTAATTTGTTTTACTTAGTTACACATGACAGTACAGTGATCTTGACATATCATATATTTGAATCAGATGGGATATAATTTCTCATTTTCCTGAGTGTACAGGTTGCAGACATTGATCATACTAGAACTTTTAATTCTATTTCAAACCCTAGCACCAATCCTCTCTCTTCTTTAAGTACTTATCTTGAATACTTAAAGTACTTCTTCCTCTGTGCTGTTTCCATACTGGGACATCCTTTGTTTTTAGAGTACTTATCACACTGTTGTAACATTTGACAACTATGTAATAGTGCTTATTACCAAGCTCAGTGCTAGATTCTGAAGAACTGACCAAAAATAAGACTCCAAAACAGTTAACAGTACCTTCTGTGGTAATGGAAATGTGCTATATCTACATTATCTATGATGTAGCACTATCCAGAAGTGCCTGTGGAGTACTTAAAATGTGGCTAGTGCAATTGAGGAACAAATTTTGTAATTTATGAATTTGAATTTACATGCAAACACCTATACATGGTTAGCCACCTCTAGAACCTAAGCCTCTGAGGAGAGAGATCTCTCTTGCTGTACTCCCAGCACTAACGATGGCGCCTGCCCACAGGAAAGGAAGGGAAGGGAAGAGAAGCCAAGGGGACACCTTAGGATGTGTGTGTGTGTGTGTGTGTGTGTGTGTGTGTGTGTGTGTGTTTAACCAGTCTTTAAGTCCTAATGGCAGGGATTTATCTGTTCATATATTTGTTTCTGTATCTGTAAGTCCCAGAAGTCATGAATTCTCTTTCCGCCTATACCTTTAGACCTATTGTCTAAAGCCAAATTGAGGCTCATAGGAGATACTTAAGAAGTGTTGAATCGAATCAGATGCTAAATAAATGCAAGATTGGTAATGGTAATCAGTGACACTGATCACAGTTGTTAACAGGAGGAAAGTTACACTGCCCAGCGCTCCATGTCAGAGCAGCAGAGTGGCCCTGCCCAGCTATGGCATCCCTTGCATGCATTCTAACTCCTTTAGGCAAATCTGCCTTTCCTGACATGTCCCCACCTCTGGCTCCCTGCTTGACTTGGAAATACAGCTTCTTACACTTGAAGAGTCAGAATTCCAGCTGGGCACCATAGCACATGCCTGTAATCCCAGTGGCTCTAGAGGCTGAGGCAGGAGGATCTCGAGTTCAAAGCCAGCCTCAGCAAAAATCAAGGTGATAAGCAACTTAATGAGACCCTGTCTCTAAATAAAATACAAAATAGGGTTGGGGATGTGGTTCAGTGGACAAGTATCCCTGATTTCAATCCCAGGTCCCCACCCCTGCCCACCAAAAGACAAAATTTCTTGTTATACCACCCCTCCCAACTTCCTGTTAAACATGGATTTCTCACAAATGATCTTTCAGTGCCTCTCTGATGCTTCTTTTGTTGAACCACAACATTCTGGCCTTTCTTTTCCCCTCCTGTCCTTCTTGACAGCCACAACTGAGCTCTCAGATTATTCCATGGTCTTCTTAATTGCAAGTCCAGTTACTGACTTCATCAGCTGATACCTTGGATTCAAGTTTTAGCTTTGCAGCTTGCTTCTCAGGTACTGTATAATCAATTACATAACCACTTAATACCCTCAGTTTCCTCATCTATAAAATGACATAAACGTTTCTCATAAATTTACTGAGAATTATTTGAGATGTTGTGAAGTATTTGGCACAGTATTTGTTGCCCTATAAAGGTTAGCTCTCTTCTCTCCTTGAATATACCTACATATACTATTGCCATACACATAAATACATACGAATTTAAGTCAATTTGTGGTGTTTTGCTTGTAATTTACATTATACAATTTTTATTATATTATTGCCCCCACACACCTGTCTCATCATTAAAAGTTTAAATTATTAAACTAGTAATCTTACTAATTTACCCTCCCTCTGAAAAACTAGTTTGTTTCTATTATTGTAATAAAGGGCATATTTATATCCTTTACCCCTCCTACAAGAAAATAAAGGTCGGTTTTTTATCTTTTTTTTTTTTTGTACATTGCAAATCAAGCAAAACTTAAGCCAAATAAAGAAAGAGTAATAATAATTTTAGAACCACAATTCAGTAATAGGCAGGAAAGTAGAATGACTTTAGAGTAAACTCTTTAGAGTAATTAGGGATAATTCCCCTTCCCCTGTGCATGCTCTTGGCTGTCCTGGTAGAGAAAACAACAATTTACACACATAAATTACCACTGTAGGACAGGCCTTTGAGGGAGGCAGCTACAGACTCCTCCGCCACCCTGTGCTCCCTCCCAGCAAAAGAGTATGTCCTTCAGAAGGCGGCCACAGCACCAACTGCACAACTGCAGTTAGGTTGATTACTATAGCAAGGGATTATATTTGAGGATTACTATAGCAAGGGATTATATTTGAGAAGTATCAAGAACGCTCATTTATTTAATACAAAGAAAACAGCCAGTATTGTAGCATTTATTATAATGTGTAATTCACTGTTCTTGATTAAGTACTGCAATGATAGAAGAATTCTAGATCTTTCTAGAACACTCAATTTTAGGACTCAGTTTTGGTCTCTGCCATCAGCTAGCTGCATGATCTCAAACCTGTTCTTTTCTTTATTATTAATTTTTTTTTGTATTTTCATCTTCTTTTTTGTGTGTGTTTGTGTGGTGCTGGGGATTGAACCCAGGCCCCTGTGCATGCTGGGCTGTGTCCTCAGTCCTTAAGACTTGTTCTTAAGGATTCAATTTGCTTATCTATCAACTAAGGAGGTACAAAATGTTTTATTATATAATCTCTTATGTATATCTGTGGTACTATGTGATAGTAGTCTCCCCTTACCCACGGGGATATGTTACAAGATCCCCAGTGGATGCCTGAAACAGCAAATAGTACCAAACTATGTTTTCTTATATAGAGCTATATACCTATAATAAAGTTTAATGATATATTAGGTACAGTAATAGATTAACAACAATAATAAAGTAGAACAGTTATAACAATGAACTGTGATAAAATTATGTGAATGTGGTCTGTGTTTCTCAAAATCCTGTACTCTACTCACCTTTCTTGTGATTCTGTGAGATATCACACAGATATTCAGTTGATCTGAATACTGAAATGGCTATGAAGTGACTTCTGGGCAGGTACTGAATACTACATGGATACACTGCACAAATGGATGATTCATATCCCAAATGGGATGGAATAAGATTGAGATTTCATCATGCTAACAGGAACAGTATACAACTTAAAACTTATGTATTGTTTATTTCTGGAATTTTTTGGACCATAGTTGGATAGAACTATGGTAACTAAAACTGCAAAGTAAAACCAAGGATAAGGGGAGACTATACATGCCCATTTGCAGTTATGGCATGTGTTAAATATGTGGGAAAACCCTGAAGACCCTTTTTATGATACTTTTAACTGATAGAGATATTTTTAACTGATACCCATTACTGGGTAATCTCAGCCTTTGGAATGAAATGTAGCTTAGGAATCATAGTTGGTTTCCAGACATAGGAAATAAAGAATAAACAAACTCATCTTGGGATAGAGAATTATTTTCATGTTTCTCTTTTCCATTGCTCTTTCACCTTATTGGCATTGCAGAATTTACTCATATGATGTAAATACATATTAGATTCCCATTGTGAGCTAACAGAATGCCCCATGGTGGAGAATTTAAGAAGGTTACAGCAGAGCCCTGAACTCAGAGGACTCAAAGGTCAGAGCAAGAAGTCAACAAAATGCTCACAGGCACTCAACCACCTCAGGCACTCAACCACCTCCCTCTTCCTTAACATCTATGATGGTCCTTGGAGGAATGGTTTCTTGAGGAATGAGTAGTTTTCCAGGTGGACAAGATGTAGAGGTATCAGAGAATATGGGACATTCAAGGCTTCAGATTGCTGAGTTGGGATGTGGGGGGGAGGTTCTCAGATTGTGTTTGTGTGTGTGTGTGTGTGTGTGTGTGTGAGAGAGAGACAGAGACAGAGGCAGAGACAGAGACAGAGACAGAGACAGACAGACAGATGGGAGGGGTAACTTGGAAGGTAGGCTGGGAGTGATCCCAAAAGGTCTTATATGTCAAATCTAGGACTTTATTCTGGAAGTAGGGGGTAACTCCAGAAGGCTTTGAACTCAAGAAGTGACCTGATTAGATACCAAGGCCTACTAGCCAGTGGAACTTTCCTTTTTTAGCATTTATACTCTTCAGTTTTTAGTGCTTTAATTATGCAACTCACGAAGGAACATTATCTCTTCAGAGCCTTCTAGAGTTTTCTTTCCTTCTTAGTGCAACACAAATCTTAATATTATTGTCCCAATATAGTAACATCTCGCCAATGCAAAGAAAATCAATTAGAATGATTCAGTATGAATATTTTGTCTGTTTTAGTATGTGAGGAGAAATTTATCACTTAGCAAACATACATCAAATGGTCACTATGTTCACATAGCAGTTTTGCAACAGCTTTTTCCCTTCCCATGAGGGACCCTGGCTTTTTCCGGCTGGCAAAATCCAGCCCTGCATAGAGAATACATACTGCCAGGACCAGGAGCAGCAGGCTGCCTGAAAAACAGGCCAAGACTTGATGTTGAGAAGTTCAGTGCTATGTCCTAGAAGCTTTGAGACTTAGGGCTCAAATTAAGATTCCCCTTGCTCCTCCATACATGTCTGGCTGGCTTTCTAACCTGTCCTTCAGTGGAACAGAGGCAAATTCAGATGGCACAGGGAGCCATATGGAGAGTATAAACACAAGAGATTTGAGGATTGGAGACTGTGTTCCATCTAAAGGGAGACACTCCTGCTAAGCTCCTGCCAGTTGTTGCCAAGATGGAATGAGGGCTCATGTAACAAGATCTGCTTTCTCAAGAGATGCTGGAAATTTTTATGCATGGAAAAAATCTTTTGGTATTTAGATATTGGGGGCAAAATCTTGTTTGGGGTCTCTGACAGAAGTCAAGCACATGCCACCACCTGACTGCCCAAGGGCCTTCTAGACAGGCTCTTCTAGCCTTGCCCATCCTGGGATCTCTTCAGCCTGACCACCAAAGGGAGCCCCCTGTGAAAGCTCCTGCCCTCACAGTTGCTGTCTCTTCCAGCATCCCATCAGCACTTCTTGGGCATCTGCTATGCCCCAAGGATTGTGCTAGAGGCTGCGGGGGGGGGGGGATGCAGAGGCCAGGAAAATGCAGTCTCTGGTGTTTACAGAAACACACAGGTAAATAGACTACATAGGAGGCCACCCAGTGTCCCAGGAGCTCAGAGACTGCTGTCTCTCTCACTGCCCAGCGTAGTCCAGGAGGGATCAGAGAGGACAACAAGGAATTCCCCCTGGACACTTCTTGAACCCCTCCACAGTGACTGGACTTTGAACCATGCAGTTCATGAGGTAGTACATGGACCTCTCTTCAGGTGATTTCAGAAAGTCATAGCTTACCCAAGATGGCATCCTAAAGGCAGACCAGAAATATAAAGCTGCAAAGAAATGAAATATAGACTTTTCCAGGTTTAACCAGCAATGAACTAAATCAAGAGGACTCAATTGTATTTCTGATGTCTTGGGTCAAATAACTTTCTTCTTTTCTTTCAAAATCCTGAAATCTGATAAAAAAATATTAAATGGAATATATTGGCATTAATTCATCCTTTATTAATTTTGGAATCATGGTAATTCATGCTTACATTGGATTGAATTCTCAGTTGTCCTGACTCTGAAATGAGGGCATCAAAGCAAATGCAAAGTGCAAATAGACTTCAGGATCAGAGAGCTGGGATAATTCTGTGTCATCTTGGTCAATTCATGAGAGCAGGTCCCCAAGGGTCTTACTCACCAACACTCTCAAGGATCATCTTATGTTCTGGAAAGTAATATTCAATTCCTTAATAATTAATTCCATATATGAATTCTATTGCTAATTCAAACACTCTCATATCGAATTTCAGAGGGAAATCATAGAAAGTGTATATTTGGTTGGTATTTTTTTTTTTGCCCAAATGAGGGTTCATCCGTGTGATACTTTTCTCTACCACCTCCAATTCAGGGACCACCCAGAATGTGGATGGAAGGTGCAGTGTCCCCTGCAGTGGTCTACGCTTGTGAATGGGTTACACGACACAGATGCCTTGAGGTTTCTTGTAACTTAAGGCCTTTTTCCCAACCGGGAAAACGGACCTCTTTCCCAAGAGGGTTGGCCTTTGGATATTTTACCATTCCTAAGGCCCCAAAGAGAATGATAAGTGCTCTGAGATAGAGAAAGGCCTTTCTCTGAGGGCTGGACTAGCATTTGCCTCCTTCTCTACTGCAGACCTCCTGTCCCCAGGTTCTGCTTCAAACTGAGCCATACTTAAGCAGGAGGCCTGCCTTCTTGCACCTGCCCCTAGGAAGGATGGGAGAATCCACTACAAAAGACCTTTTGCCTATTTATTTCTGCCACAGAAAGTTCCAATAGTCCCTACCAACAGGGCCCACCTGTGTTTCCCCAAGAGCTTTTATCCCTTCAACTCCAGAGGGCCCCCTAAGGGGCTGAGTAGGAGGAGGGAAGCCTGGAGCTCCCTTCAAATGCTGCATATGGAGCCAATAATAATGACTGGCTGTACACGGGTGAGAGCCCAGGGGAAGGCTCTGAGGTGGGCTCAGCTGGACGTAGTCTAAAGTTTTCCAGCATTGCAGGATAGAGAGGGACCCTGGGTTTGGGGGAAGGTCAACATCCCTGAAGCCAAACCTATCCCAGGGCCTGCCTGGAATCATGCATGACCCCAAAGCAAGACAAAAGTCAGACATTTGAAATATGCTTGATGACACTGGCATTCTGAGTATTTTAAACTTAAAAATGCAACCAAGTACTCATTCTGGATTTTGAAAAAAATTTGCTGTGCTTCCAAAGAGTCATGTTTCCAGTAGAAGCCCTGGAATGTGGCCTTATCTTCCCCCTTTCTTGGGCTGATCCTCTGTCCTGGCTGCTGACCTTGCTCCTTCCTCACACAAGATCTTCTGGATTGGGAGGAGCAATAGATGCAGACAGCCTAATTTGTTCTTGGCAAGAACCACAGCCTGCATTGCTGTGAGGGTCAGGAGAATCATAAATAATTCACAAAGTTTTGGTTTTCCAAGATGAGATGGGCTGCAGTAAAATTTCATTTTTTGATCCCTCTTCCTACCCCACACCCTGATACCCCTAGAACTGCTTGTCCCTGAAGCCAGCATCTTCCTCGTATTCCTTAGAAGGGGCAGGGAGGGAAAGCCTTCTGCATGTGAACCTGAAGCACATGGAGTCTGTCTGTGAAGATGCTGCGCGGCAGAAGCTGGGACATCTTGAAAGCTAAAACATAAAACAGCATTTTAAAAGAGGAAAATAGCTCCAATGTGTTTCCAATGTGCACCACACAGGAAACGGGGATGGGGGCTCCAGAGGTGATGAGGGGAGCCCGCTCCAGCTGGAGGGTTTTTATCATTACTCTGTTATCATCTGCACATCAAGTGTCTAAGACCTTGCTCTGGTTCCAGAAGGGAGAGGGTCCTAATGGCTAGAGAGGCTTGGAATGGGTCCCTCCATCTCCTTTAGCATGAAAATTTCAAATTAAAAGTTCAGTCCTTGGCTGACTTGTGATGTGAAAATAAGTGGCCTTATTCTCTTTAAACTAGAGACAGAGGAAGATGGTGACTCAAAGGCAGTACCAGGATTCCAGTCATTGTTTAATGCTATTTGGGAACAGATATCACTCTGGCTAGAGGTGGCATTGAGCAAGAATCCAGCTCAGTCCCCTTACTGCCAGACCATCAAGGCCTTCCATGTTGAGCAGGAATGGCAACCTCAGAGCTGGTGCGTGGGAGATGACACTACAGGGGATGCTCGTGGAACCCAACAGTCACCTACAACCACCTGCCTTCTGGGCTCAGACTTCCTTAAGCCCCTTCCCTCTTTCCTTTCCCCCTTTGTTACCTTCTCCTTGCCCCTTTCCTTGGAGATAGGGTCAAAAGAGATACTACTTCCTCAAAAGAAGCAGAGCTTCAATAGTGTTTCAACAAAGATCTTTTGGGAAGTGGTAAGAAAAGAGATGGAAGGTTTCAGGACCATCTCTGAACTTTCTTTCTCTTTCTGTCTTACCAAGGCCAGGCATGTTGCTGAGTGCTGGTCAAACAAAAGGAGTTAGGAGTTAGTTCTTACTCTTAAGAAACCAAATCTAAAAAGATAAAATAAAATAAAAAAGAAAGAAACCAAATCAACACTGTAATGACACTACGATATCAGTTTGCTTCCTTTCTTAAGTAGTTATCATTTAGAAGTAAATAAACTTTCTAAGCAACATATGTTAGTGGTATTATTAACACTGTAGGTGTTTGTAAAGGTTTTATTTTTGTGAGATGATGATGATGACAGTAAATATACTTTATGATATTATACAGATGTAGACACTCTCATTCTTTCCTATTGTTAAGGAGTGAGCTTCTTTGTATCATAAGCAATGATAGCAGAAGCTGTGTCAGGCCAGACTGTTCTGTGGCATTTCATAGCAAACAGGATTTCACTGGTCACAAGCTTTGAAGTCTAAGTGCAGGACCCCTACCACCTGAGATGTCAGGGGGGCATGTGACTACTTGGTGCCTTTCTCTTCTCATCTCTAAAAGGTGGTCCTTGTCTTGGGTCCGGTGGGCTAGATGATCTCCAGATTCCTCATTGAGCACTGGCTCTTGCAGTCCACTCTCTACCTTTGACCAAGGAAAACTCTGATACCAGAAAGTCCAATGCACTTGCCTGAAGTGCTAGCAGAACCAGAGGTACAATCTAGGTCTCTGGCACTAAGTCCTTTATTCTTTCCACATTCCCTTATAATTTCAGGATGGTCATAATGTAAGCTGCTAGTGAAATGTGAGGGCTTGGTAGAAAGGTGAAGGACAAAAGCAATGCGAAAAAGATATAGAGAATTCTCCAGATTTAGTCATTCTCCATGCGAAACTGGTCCAGAACCCTTGGGCTTCCTCAGGCACCCCCGTCTGTGATCCACAGGCCTCAAGGTATTTTTTCACCTTTTCTGCCCACCATTCAGAAGAGATGCTGGCCCAAGAATGCCCTGGGAATGGCCCCTGAGCGGTCCACTCCTGGCTTTGGGGAGCTGCCCCTCTGACCACAGCGGCCTCTAGTGTAGCCCTGCTCCACTGCAGCTGTCCAGGGTTGGAGCAGCCTCAGGAAGATACACGCAGGGCAGGCAAGGTACACATGTGCCACGTTCCCTCACCATGGTGCATCCACCAAGGCCTGCAGTTCCTAACCCCATGCCTGTCATCTTTCTGACATTCCCAATTACTTCCCACAGTTCTATCTCCAGTTCTTTTTCCTGAGGGCAATGATTGCCAAATACATAGCAGTCTATGAATAATTTCAGTGTCAAAAGAAAAGTACCTGTCCTAGACAGTTACAGTGATTTCAATTAATTTTATAGACATTTTTATCTTCACCGTCTGGAAACTTGGGGTGGAACTCCAACACAATTGCCAACTTCCCCCAGCATCTGTGCAGTGGCATTTTGTTTTCATCAGACAGTCCCTGTGTGCCAGCTCCTTGCCACTGTCTGTTCCTTCATTCTTAAAGTAGTCATCTGGAGGAGAGAAAAGCACAAGTTAATAAAAAAAACTAACATGGAGCCTACAAACACACTGGCAACCAAAACACAGAGCTGCTTTTAGATATGCGTCTAGTGAACCACGTAGGTATTTGGATGACTTAGCTGCAGCACATACATACAATGTCCAATTAAAGAAAAAAAAACAAACACACTTTTTAAGGTTGCCTGGGGAAATGTATTCACTATGCAGATGTACATTTTTTTAGGTTTAGACTCCACCTCATTCCAAAAAGGTTTGAGATAGCTTTGGGAAAAATATTGGCAGACAGAACAATCTGAACTCAAAATTTTAATGACAAAATGGTTCCTGCCTGCACAGGGCACCCTGCTTTCCATAGCTAGGTTCCACGCAGCTTCCAGAATTTATTCTGCCCTTAGAATTAAAAGCACTTCCCTCTCTGGGTAGTTGGGTGGAGCGGCATCCAAACACCTTGAGCTGTTCTATGTGGAGCTTGTAACCAGGCTTTCTTTGTCTCTGATGATCCCCCCTCTCCCCTGACCTTCACTAGGCTTTGTCCTGAGGTGCCAGTCTTGCTCCCCAAAGCTGAGCCCCTCCTCAAAAACCATGTGATTTCCCTGAACCTCCAAGTTCAGGAGCCTTCCATCCTTTGCCCATACTTCTTGGTGTTGGGAGGTCTCCCCCTGGACCTCAAACTCTCTGCCTAAGGGGAAAAGGCAAGAATATGGACTCTGAAATCAGCAGATCTTGAAATGAATCCATAGTCTGCCTTCTACTGTCCTTAAGACCTTGACAGTTTATTTAGCTACAATTCCTTATGTTTAAACAGGAGGACTCATAGTACAATCCTAGAGGTTTTGGTGAGGATGAAGTCAGATAATGCTCACAAAATGTTTCAGACAGGACCTGACACATAAATAATTACTGAAAAGAAACTATATTGTTATTAAACTCACCTCTCCCAAGCATTCCAGACACCAACCACCTAGCTCCTGAGCGTCCGTGTACTTCTGTAAACAAGCTTTCTGGCAGGCCACATCTCCTCAGTCCCTCTTTAGC